TTTTTTTTGAGATGGAGTCTGGCTTCCATTGCACAGGCTGGAGTGCAGTGTCGCGATCTAGGCTCACTGCAGCCTGCACTCCCAGGTTCAAGTGTTTATTCTTCAACCTCCCAAGTAGCTGGGATTACAGACTCGTGCTACCATGCCTGGGTAATTTTTGTATTTTTAGTAGAGATGGAGTTTTGCCGTGTTGGCCAGACTGGTCTCGAACTCCCGACCTCAGGTGATCCGCCCGCCTCGGCCTCCCAAAGTGGTAGGATCAGGAATTCAAGACCATCTTAGCCAACGTGGTGAAACCCCATCTCTACTAAAAATGTAAAAACTTGAATTCCTGATCCCAGCACTTTACATGTGGTGGCGCAAGACTGTAATCCCAGCTACTTGGGTCGCTGAAGCAGGAGAATTGCTTGAACCCAGGGGCCAGAAGTTGCAGTGAGCCAAGATCCTGCCACTACACCCCAGCCTGGGCGACAGAGTGAAACTCTATCTCAAATATAAACAAACAAACAAATAAATAAAATCTGCCAGACACAGTGGCTCATGCCTGTATCTGCATACCACCTGTATGTGCATAAAATTCTACCACTTTGGGAGGCTGAGGTGGGAGGATCATTTGAGCCCCAGAGCTCATGACTAGCCTGGACCACATAGCAAGCCCTGTCTCTATTATTATTTAAAAATTAAGGCCAGGTGCGGTGGCTCACACCTGTAATCCCAGCACTTTGGGAGGCCGAGGTGGGCGGATCACAAGGTCAGGAGTTCCAGACCAGCCTGGCCAAATGGTGAAACCCTGTCTCTGCTAAAAATACAAAATTTTAGCTGGGCACGATGGCAGGCGCCTGTAGTCCCAGCTACTCGGGAGGCTGAGGCAGGATAATCACTTAAACCCAAGTGGCAGAGGTTGCAGTGAGCCGAGATTGCGCCACTACATTCCAGCCTGGGTAATGGAGACTCCATCTCAAATAATAATACTAGTGATAAAATAAAATAAATATCATTCTCCACTAAAATGAACCAGGGCTCTTTCAAGGAATGTTTTATTCCAGGGCTGGGCAAGGCAAAATACAAGACAAGCCAGCGTAGTAGAGCTTGTTGAACCAATTAGTAAGGAAATGCTCCAAGAAGAAATTAGAAAGTCATCACTTGGTAACCATTATGATAATAACTGATTCAGGCAAGTGTCATCAATTGATATTAAGTTGCTGGAAACTGAATGTGTTGAGGAACAGGCTATTTAATTACTTTCAAAGTATCTCCTCAGAAAGCAGTTACCAACAAAGTATAAAGCCAGGAGGTGGCTCATGCCTGTAATCCCAGCTACTTGGGAGGCTGAGGCAGGAGAATCACTTGAATCTATCCGAGAGGTGGAGGTTGCAGTGAGTCAAGAACGGGCCATTGCACTCCAGCCTGGGTGACTGAGCAAGACTCCATCTCAAAAAAAAAAAGAAAGAAAGAAAGGAAGAAAGTATCTCCCCAGAAAGCACTTATTAACAGTGTAAAGCCAGGCTCAAAGTGCTGGGACTACGCCTGTATTCCCAGCACTTTGGGAGGCAGAGGCAGGTGGATCGCCTGAGGTTAGGAGTTTGAGACCATCCTGGTCAACATGGCAAAACCCCATCTCTACTAAAAATACAAAAGTTAGCCCGGCATGGTGGTGCGGGTCTGTACTCCCAGGAACTCAGGAGGCTGAGGCACGAGGATCGCTTGAACCAGGAGACAGAGGCTGCAGTGAGCTGAGATCTCGCCATTGCACTGTAGCCTGGGTGACAAAATGAGACTCCCTCTCAAAATAAATAAATAAAATATTAAAACAAACAAAGTGTAACATAGTAACTCACACTGGAGAAACTGGCAGGCCATTTCAACCAAGTTAGCATAATGGGTAGTGGACAAAATCAACATTGTATGCATCCTGAAAACACAATGTCACTTCTGTGTTTCCTGCCACAAATGCAAAATCATGAGTAAGTATTAGACAAATACTAATGGAAGGGCTTTCTGAAAAATGACTAGCCTGGAATTTTTGAAAAATATGGATGTCATGGAGAGAAGGTAAGATTGATAAAATGTTCCAGAAAGAGTCATAACAGCAAAAGGCAACACTTGATCTTGGGATGAATGTAGGATTTTTTTTTTTTTTTTAAGGAAAGGAAGGGGAGGGGAGAGGAGGAGACTTTTTTTTTTTTTTGACACAGGATCTTGCTCTGTTGCACAGGCTGGAATGCAGTGGTGAGGTCATGGGTCACTGCAGCCTAGAACTCCTGGGCTCGAGTGATCCTCTCACATCAGCCTCCCAAGTAGCTAGGACCACTGGAGCATGCCACTACACCTGGCTAATATTTTTATTTTACTTTGTAGAGATGGGGTTTCACTATGTTGCCCAGGCTGATCTCACACTCCTGGACCCCAGAGACCTTCCTGCCTTGGGCTCCCAATGAACTGGGATTACAGACGTGAGTCACTGTGCCTGGTCTGAATTTTGGATTTTTAAAGGACTTTATTGAAAACTTTTTTTTTTGAGATGGAGTCTGGCTCTGTTGCCCAGGCTAGCGTGCAATGGCAAGATCTCTGCTCACTGCAACCTCCGCCTCGCAGGTTCAAGCGATTCTCCTGCCTTGGCCTGATGAGTAGCTGGGATTACAGGTGCTGCCACCAAGCCCAGCTAATTTTTTTTTTTTTTTTTTGTAGAGATGGGGTTTCTCCATGTTGGCCAGGCTGGTCTCAAACCGCTAACCTCAGATGATCCAAGTGCTGAAATTACAGGCATGAGTCACTGCACCCAGCCTTTGAATGGGTTTTGGGAATTACACAATAATATTAGATGAACATTAATTTTCTGATTTTGAATGTTACACTGTGATTATGTGCAAAAGTGTGCTTATATTTAGGAAACATATAGTGCAGTCTTTTTTAAAAAAAATTGATATGTCTTAGAGATGGGGGTAGGTGAGTTTGCTATGTTGCCTAGGCTGGCCTTGAACTCCTGGGCTCAGGTGATCCTCTTGCCTCAGCCTCCTGAGCAGCTGGGACTACAGTCCCACGCCACCATGGTTGGCTAACTTATTTGTAAATTTTTGGATTTTGAGACAGTCTCACTCTGTTGTCTAGGCTGGAGTGTAGTGGCACGATCTCGGCTCACTGCAACTTCTGCCACCTGGGTTCAAGCAATTCTCCTGCTTCAGCCTCCCGAGTAGCTGGGATTACAGGCGCCTGCCACCGCACTGGCTAATTTTTGTATTTTTAGTAGAGACGGGATTTTACCATGTTGGCCAGGCTGGTCTTGAACCCCTGACCTCAGGTGATCTGCCCACCACTTTTAAATTGTTTGTAGAGACGGGATCTCAAATTAATCTCACTATATTGTCCAAGCTGGTCCCCATCTTCTGGGCTCCAGTGATCCTTCCGTCTCGGCCTCCCAGAGTGCTGGGATTACAGTGCTGGGATTACTGCGCCCGGCCAGTCTTAAAAAAAAAAAGTTGAATTCTGCTGCGGTTTTATTGATTAGAGAACGCCGGCGGTCTGCAGGTGGCGCAGCAGCACCCCTCGCGCCCGGGGCGGGGCTGGGGCGGGGCCAGTGCTGTGGGCGGAGCCAAGACGCGGCAGGGGCGGGGCCAGTAGCAGCGGCGCAGCTGGGCCTGTGCGGCCCAGGGCGTCCCCCGTCGCCTCCGGCCCCGCCTCTCGGGGCGGGGCGTGCATGGCGATTGGCAAGTGAGGGCGAGAGGCGGTCGCTATTGGCCCGCAGCGCTGTCTGCTCGGCGGGCGGTGCCCGAACGCAGGTGCCGGCCAGAGCGGACCTAGTGGCGCCGACGTGCCGGGCCGGGCAGGGACCCGGGCCGGGGCGAACGGAGGGGCCTGTGCGGCCGCCCGGCCCGGCCGCGGATCAGGTAGGCACGGGCCTGCAGGTAGGGCCGGGGGACGCCAGTCCGCGCGCCGGCTCCGGGTTCGAGGCCGGAACTCAGTATCCGGGAGGGACGGCAGGGCTGGATCCCTTGGCCACAGCTTTCTTGGGGACGCGGGGACCCTAGTTCCCGTGCCAAAGCCGGTGGAAGGTCCCTGGGGCCCGGCACACAGTAGACGCCTCTCCAAGCCTTGGTTTCCCCACCTGTAAAATTGGGTCATCCCATTGTCAACCTGATGGGTCTTCTGGGTGGATTCAGAAGGTGGCTGGTGCAGAGAGCGCTTGGCACACAGTAGGCAACTACTGAGTGGCCAGTGCCCTTCCCCAACCTTCTTCTCAGAGTCGCTCTGCCTACAAAATAGTAAGTTACAATATAATGAGCCAGCCACTTTGCACAAAGATCTTCAAACAGGATGCCCTGTGCTGTGTGGGTGCTCAAAACAGGGTAGTCAGAATGAGTATGATGAGCTCGTTCAGTTCTTTTGAAACCGTACTGACTAGGTGGAAGCACTAGAAATGTCCCCTGTTATACAGATGAGAGAGTCCAGGCTCAGAGAGGCTAAGTGTCTTGCCCAGGGCCACACAGCACATAGGGAGTAGAGCTGGGATTGGAACCTCCCTTCTCATGCAGGGCCTAAAAGAACTGAAGGACGCACAGGAGCCTCTCTATGGTGAGGGAATAGAAATGAATGCAATGACAGCCTCCACATTTACCCTACAAAATATTAATAGTGAGCTTTTATTAAGCACTTACTGACTGTGTGACCTCTCATCAACAGCTCTGTAAACTGATCATAGTTATTAGAATAAGAGCTAATATTGGCCAGGCGAGGTGGCTCACACTTGTAATCCCAGCACTTTGGGAGACCAAGGTGGGCAGATCACAAGATCAGGAGTTCAAGACCAGCCTGACCAACATGGTGAAACCCCGTCTCTACTAAAAATACAAAAATTAGCTGGGCACAGTGGTGCACCCCTGTAATCCCAGCTACTCAGGAGGCTGAGGCAGGAGAATCACTTGATACTGGGAGGTGGAGATTACAGTGAGACGAGATCACGCCACTGCACTCCAGCCTGGTGAACAGAGCAGGACTGCGTTTAAAAAAAAGTAAAGAGCTAATATTATGAACTACATATCATTATGATGCCCCTCTTTTTAAAAAAATTTTTGGGACAGAGTCTCACTCTGTCACCCAGGCTGGAGTGCAGTGGTACAATCTCGGCACACTGCAACCTTCACCTCCCAAGTTCAAGTGATTCTCCTGTCTCAGCCTCCCAAGTGGCTGGGATTACAGGCAGGCACCACCATGCCCAGCAAATTTTTGTATTTTTAGTAGAGATGGGATTTTGACATGTTGGCCAGGCTGGTCTCGAACTCCTGATGTCAAGTAATTCACTTGCCTCGGCCTCCCAAAGTGCTGGCATTACAGGCATGAGCCATTGCACCCGGCCTCCTTTTTTTTTAGATGGAGCCTCTCTCTGTTGCCCAGGCTGGAGTGCGGTGGCACAATTACAGCTCACTGCAACGTCTGCCTCCCAGGTTCAAGTGATTCTCCCGCCTCAGCCTCCCAAGTAGCTGAGATTACAGGTGCCCACCACCATGCCCAGCTAATTTTTGTCTTTTTTAGCTGAGACAGGGTCTCATCATGTTGGCCAGGCTGGTCTCAAACTCCTGGCCTCAAATGATCCACCTTCCACGAGCTCCCAAACCTGCTGGGATTACAGCTGTGAGCCACTGTGCCCGGCCTATAATGCCCATTTTATAGATGAGAATACTGTGGCTGAGAGAGTAAACAGCTGCCTGAGATCACACTGCAGGAAGTTTTAGGGCCCTCTGTTTCCTACCTTTAGGAAAAGGAGGCTGGGCAGGTATGGAATAGACTGGGGTGGGGGCCTCAGTGTCACCCCAAACAAGCCTAGCCAAGGATGAGCTTTACTTGATGAATTCAGCCGGGAGGCTTCTTCTCAGTAGACCCCTCCATAGACACAGTCCCCCAGCTCCATCATTAGAATGAAGCCCAGAGAAGCAAAGTGACTTGAACCAGGACACCCAGCATCCCAGAGAAGCAAAGTGACTTGAACCAGGACACCCAGCATCGGTGGCAGAGCCAGGAGAGCCAGGAGTTAAAGAACCAAGGTCTCTTGAGGTCCAGACCCACTCTCTGGAGTGTTTTAAGTTTGAATTCTGATACCACCCATTCCTAGCTGTCTGATTGTGGGGAAATAGGTGCCTCTCTCTGAGCCTCAGCCTCTCTCCCCATTATAGGGTATTATTATTGGTTTGTTGTGAAGACTCAATGAGATCTATCCCCAGGCTTGGCATGGTGGCTCATGCTGGTAATCCCAATACTTTGTGAGCTTTGTGAGGCTGAGGCGGGCAGATCACTGGAACCCAGGAGTTCAGGACCAGCCTGGGCAACATGGCAAAACACCATCTCTACAAAAAATTAGCAGGGCTTGGTGGTGTGCAGAGCTACTCAGGAGGCTGAGGTGGTAGGATCACCTGAACCTGGGGTGGTGGAGCTGTGATTCCTCCACTGCCCTCCAGCCTTGTGGGTGACAGAGTGAGACCCTGCCAAAAAAAAAAAAAAAAAAAAAAAGATGAAAGAAAAGAAATACGCCAGGCACACGGTGATTCAAGCCTGTAACCTCAGCACTTTGGAAGGCTGAGGCAGGTGTGGTCAGGAGTTTGAGGCCAGCCTGCCCAACATGGTGAAACCACATCTCTACTAAAAATACAAAAAATTAGCTGGGCATAGTGGCGGGCACCTGCAATCCCATCTACTCCGGAGGCTGAGACAGGAGAATCACTTGAAGCTGAGAAGCTGAGATCGTGCCATTGCACTGCACCCTGGGCAACAAGAGTGAAACTCTGTCCCCATCAAAAACAAAAAACAAAAAACAGGCAAAAGAAAGAAAAGAAATAAAGGAATCTCCTGGGTACTGGCCACGTTGTGCTGGAGGCATCAGCTCGCTTTCCCATTCCTGCAGCCCCAGAGCTGAGTCCAACCTGCAGTCACCCTCTCTTTGTGTCCGGCCTCAAGTTTGGCCTCTTCCATGCCTGGGCCTCTGTGGTCTGAGTGGACTTCTAGCATCTAAACATTTCTGATGCCCACCACAGGGGCTGGCTGACCAGGACTGGAGGGTCGAGAGATGTGGCTCTCCCACGCTGTTCTTATACGGATTGAGGATTGAGAAATGACTGCAGCTTGGCTGGGTGCAGTAGCTCATGCCTATAATCCCAGCACTTTGGAAGGCTGAGAAGGGTGGATTATGAGGTCAGGAATTTGAGACCAGCCTGGCCAACATGGTAAAAGCCCCGTCTCTACTAAAAATACAAAAATTATCAGGGTGTGGTGGTGAGCTGTAATTCCAGCTATTCGGGAGGCTGAGTCAGGAGAATCACTTGAACCTGGGAGGCAGAGGCTGTGGTGAGCCAAGATTGCACCACTGTACTCCAGCCTAGGCAACAAAAGCAAAACTCCATCTCAAAAAATAAATAAATGGGCAGGGTGAGGTGGCTCACGCCTATAATACCAGCACTTTGGGAGGCTGAGGCTAGTACATCACAAGGTCAGGAGTTCAAGACCAGCCTGGCCCATATGGTGAAACCCCATCTCTATAAAAATACAAAAACTAGCTGGGCATGGTGGCATGTGCCTGTAGTCCCAGCTACTCGGGAGGCTGAGGCAGAAGTATTGCTTGAACCCAGGAGGTGGAGGTTGCAGTGAGCTGAGATGGTGCCACTGCACTCCAGCCTGGGCAACAGAGCGAGACTCCTTCTCACAAAAAATAAATAAATAAAATAAAATAAAAATACAAAAATTAACCAGGCGTGGTGGTGAGTGCCTGTAATCCCAGCTACTTGGGGTGCTGAGGCAGGAGAATCCCTTGAACCCGGAAGTGGAGGTTGCAGTGAGCCGAGATCGCACAATTGCACTCCAGCCCAAGGCAACAGAGCGAGACTCCACCTCAAAAAAATTAAGAAAAGAGAAATGACTGCAGCAGCAACCACACATACAGCAGCTCTGGGCTAGACACAGGGCTAGGTTCTGGGGACAGCAGGAGGCAATCTGATAGGATCTCCTTTTTATAGAATTCTCTGTAGGATGAGATGACAGACATGGTTAAATACATAGATGAATAAGTAGAATATTTCAGACAGGGACACATGCCACGAGGGGAATCATGTGGACTCCAATCATGATTGATTGATTGAGACAGGGTGTTGCTCTGTGGTTGAGGCTGCAGCAAGTGATGATTGTACCACTGCACTCCAGCCTGGCCTCAAGTGATTCTCCCACCTGAGCCTCCTAAGTAACTGGGATTACAGGCGCACACCACCATGCCCAGCTCATTTTTGTATTTTTTGTAGAAACGGGGTTTTGGTATGCTGCCCAGGCTTCTCTCAAACTCCTGGGCTCAAGCGATCCTCCCACCTCAGCCTCCCAAAGTGTTGGGATTAATAGGTGTGAGCCAATGCACCCGGCTCCCAGACAGCATTGTCAAAGAAGGCTTCCCCAGGAAGGTGACCTTTGAAGGAGATACTTATAAAAACTGTCTCGAGTTCAGTAAGATGATGACTATGTATGGAGATTGCTTGGCACAGTATTCGGTTCTTTTTTTCTTTTTTTTGGAGACCATGTCTCACTCTGTCGCCCAGGCTAGAATGCAGTGGTGCGATCTCAGCTCACTGCAACCTCTACCTCTCGGGTTCAGGCGATTCTCCTGCCTCAGCCTCCCCAGTAGCTGGGACTGCAGGCGCACGCTACCAAACCCGGCTAACTTTTTGTATTTTTAGTAGAGACAGGGTTTCACCATGTTAGCCAGGGTGGTCTCTGTCTCCTGACCTTGTGATCCGCCCGCCTCGGCCTCGAACAGTGTTGGGCTTACAGACATGAGCCACCATGCCCGGCCCTCAGTTCTTAATAGATAGAAGCTACTAGTATAATTTTGGTGGTTTTCAGGCCTTGCATTAGCAGATTTACCTGTGTGGTTTTTTGTTGTTGTTGTTGTTATTTAGTCTTTACTTCATAATCATAAACTTTTTTTTTTTTTTTTTTTTTTGACACGGAGTTTCGCTTGTTACCCAGGCTGGAGTGCAATGGCGCAATCTCGGCTCACTGCAACCTCCGCCTCCTGGGTTCAGGCAATTCTCCTGCCTCAGCCTCCTGAGTAGCTGGGATTACAGGCATGTGCCACCATGCCCAGCTAATGTTTTGTATTTTTAGTAGAGACGGGGTTTCACCATGTTGACCGGGATGGTCTCGATCTCTTGACCTCGTGATCCACCCGCCTCGGCCTCCCAAAGTGCTGGGATTACAGGCTTGAGCCACCGCGCCCGGCCATAATCATAAACTTAACTCTGCAATCCAGCTAGGCATGAAAGGGAACAAGGAAAACATGGAACCCAAAGGGAACTGCAGCGAGAGCACAGATTTTAGGATACTGCCAGCAAACGGGGTGGAGGGGTGCTCTCCTGAGCTACAGAAGGCATGGTCTGGTGGTTAAGATAAAACACAAGTCAAACTTATTAAAGTTGTCCACAGTCAGCAGCGGTGATCTTCTTGCTGGTCTTGCCATTCCTGGACCCAAAGCGCTCCACGGCCTCCACAATATTCATGCCTTCTTTCACCTTGCCAAAGACCACATGCTTGCCATCCAACCACTCAGTCTTGACAGTGCAGATGAAAAACTGGGAACCGTTTGTGTTGGGTCCAGCATTTGCCATGGACAAGATGCTGGACCTGTGTGCTTTAGGATGAAGTTCTCATCATCAAATTTCTCCCCGTAGATGGACTTGCCACCAGTGCCATTATGGCGTGTGAAGTCACCACCCTGACACATAAACCCTGGAATAATTCTGTGAAATCAGAAACCCTCATAACCAAATGCTTTCTCTCCAGTGCTCAGAGCACGAAAGTTTTCTGCTGTCTTTGGAATCTTGTCTGCAAACAGCTGGAAAGAGATGTGGCCCAAGGGCTCGCCGTCGCTGGCAATGTCAAAGAACACGGTGGGGTTGACCATGGCTGATACTAGAAGACTCCAGGTGGCGGCGGCATCTGCAAAGCCCTGTGTGGTTTTTTTTCTTTCTGATAGAAGAAACGTTAGAACATTATATACAGGAGCTAGGATGTTTCCTGTAATGTCCAGTTATTTGCAAAAATGTAAAGATGGGGCTGGGGGTAGTGGCTCATGCCTGTAATCCCAGCACTTTGAGAGGCCAAAGCGGGCAGATTACTTGAGGTCAGGAGTTCGAGACCAGCCTGGCCAACATGGTGAAACCTCGTCTGTACTAAAAATACAAAAATGAGCTGGGTTTAGTGGTGGACACCTGTAGTCCCAGCTACTCAGGAAGCTGAGGCAAGAGAATCGCTTGAACCCAGGAGACAGAGGTTATAGTGAGCCAAAATTGTACCACTGCACTCCAGCCTGGGTGACAGAGTAAGCCTCTGCCTCAAAAAAGAAAAAAAAGAGTTAGCCAGTTATTGTGGCATGTGCCTGTAATCCCAGTTACTCAGGAGGCTAAGGCAGGAGAATTGCTTAAACCTGGGAGGCAGAGGTTGCAGTGAGCCAACATCGCACCACTGCCCTCCAGCCTGAGCAACAGAGCAAGACTCCATCTCAAAAACAAAAAAAAAATTAGCTGGGTGTGGTGATGCATAGCTGCAGTCCCAGCTACTCAAGAGGCTGAAGCAGGAGACTCTCTTGAACCCGGGAGGGTAAGGTTGTAGTGAGCTGAGATCACACCACTGCCCTCCAGCCTGGGCTACAGAGTGACACCCTCTCTCTTTTTTTTTTTCGATGGAGTCTTGTTTTGTTGCCCAGGCTGGAGTTCCCTGGCTTTGTGACATCTTGACTCACTGCAAACTCCGCCTCTTGGGTTCAAGCAGTTCTCCTGCCTCAGACACCCAAGTGCCTGGGATTACAGGTGCCTACCACCCCACCTGGCTAATATTTGTACTTCAAGTAGAGGCGGGGTTTTGCTATGTTGTCCAGGCTGGTCTCAAACTCCTGACCTCAGGTGATCCACCCACCTCAGCCTCCCAAAGTGCTGGGATTATGGGAGTGAGCCACTATGCCTGGCCAAGACCATGTCTTGGAAAAAAAGAAGGAAAAAGAAATGTAAAGACCTATCCTCAGAGGGGCCAGGACCGGAGGAAGGGACTTTCCTCTGCCCTTCTTCCCGTAAAGAGCCCAGCAGCTTCCCTTCTGGCCTCTGAGCTAAAGGTTCTGGTTGCAGGGACTTGGGAGGGACAGCAGCAGGCACCCGTGTCAGGCCCGGCCACTGCCCTGTGCATGTTATCTCAGGCCTGCAGCCTTCCTCTTGGGCCCCTGCCTTTGGGCAATACTTGCTTATCTGGCCTGCAGGGGCCTGCTGTGATGCTCAGAAGAACATGTAGAGCCAGGCAGGCTGCTGGCTGAGCTGTCTAGAGGGCATTTATCCATCGGTGGACTGTCCTAGTACAACAGTTAGTCAATAAGTGCTCTCACCTCCCCACTTTGGGTCTCAGATTTTTTTTTTTTTTT